ATCATTTTTATAAGTGTGGGCACCAATTTTGTATCCACAGGGCTCTAGGTTTTAGTGCAGGAAGTCTCAGGTTTGCTCCTGCCCACCACCGTGTCCACGCCTACCCAGCCATGTCCCAGCGTGGGGCAAACCCAACCCCCTTTTCTGCTGCACTGGCCACCCGCCCAGCACCCCAGGACAGGCTCCGCTCTCGGCGTGGCCATGGCCTGGACAGCAAGGGGCGCTCCGTTCTTTCCCAGCGCCAGTTCGGAGGGACAGAGCCAGGAACCGAGTCTCCCCGGGGTGCTGGGCGAAGAGGAGCAGGCTGAGGAAGCAGGCCATGGGGCGGAAAGGCGCAAGCAGGGTCCCACGCTGACCCCTGCTGCAGTCTGGCCCTGAGGTGCAGAGAGGTGAGGGGGCGGGGGAGGGCCACAAGGGGCCCACGATTTGCTGACTGTGAGGCGGGGCTGGCCAGGCCCTGGCTCAGCGGCTGGTGCGCACTTCTCAGCTACCCTTTAGTCCTAGTCCTCTGCCCGCGCTGGCCAGCAGGTGTGTGTGCGGGGGAAGGGAGGGTTGTGAATGGGACCCCTAGGACTGGGCAATTCCTGGGGAAGGGTGCCTGGGGCACTGCCGCCATGGAATGGGGGTAGGGGAGCCGGGGAGGCTAACGGGGCCTGCGAGAGGGCAACATGGTGAGCTGTTCGGCTTGCATTGTGTTGCATTCCTCTCCAGTGAGTGCGCCTGCCCCCCGCCCCAGCAGCTGCGCGCCTCTGTCCTCCCCCTCCGCTCAGCAGCAAACGCTAAAGTAAATGTTTATGCTGGACCCGCTGCAAACATTCCCCTCGTTGGAAGCCCCCCACCCCCCTCAATCTCGCCGGCTGGTTGAAGATGGTGGATTCCGGCCTGCGTGGAGCTTTGACGTGCACCGGGAGCATCCGGCCCTGCCGGGGCGTCACGTCACGTACCGATGAGGAGGAGCCCGAGTGGGCTGGGCCCAGCCAGGAGAAGGGACGGGGCTGCTCCTTCAGGGAGACGTGCCCGGGTGCTGCGATTCACCGACGCCCTGAGAGGCTCGGGAGCGGCTGTGGGTCTTTCGTTGTCCTCCCTTCCCAACCCACTTCCCCCACGTTGAGGGTGGCCGTGGGGCAGGCTGTAACTGTTGGAGGCTCACTGAGGGCACGGGCCGGGCATGCCAAAGCCAGGGCATCACCCCCTTTCGTGGTTCCTCTCTCGCCGGCCTCAAGAAAGGTGCCCCGGCATTTGGCACGCGAGGGAGAGAGATCCCTCAGGCCGCGGTGGCGCCATTTTGAGGCATGGAGCGGGAAGGGAAGGAGTCCTGCGCCCAGCAGACCCCGCCGCGGGGACCGCGGGAGGCGGAATGGAATGAACCGAGTTGGAAACGAGCCAGGGGTTGGGAGTTCAAACTCCTACTCCGCCAATACAGGCCTTAGGAGCTTGAACGGCAAGGCCTGTGGCTTGTCTCCCCTCCTAAGGACGAGCCCTCCAAGCAGCAGGGGGCTGGGGCAGACTCAGACCCCCCATCGGTAACAGGGCCTAGATCAGGGCTACTGAACACGTGGCCCGTGTGTGTGCGACCCACGGTGCGGTGTGGGGTCAACACGCAGGTGGGATCCTTTGAACACGGCCTCCACTGGGCACACGCCCCCCAGCGGCGAGGTGTCGCCCCGGCGGGTGAGCACTGCAAGACGCAAGCGGACGGGCCGGCTGGAACACATGGGTACCGGGTGTCGGTGTTTCTAGCTCCCAGGGAGGAGGTGCCGGGAGCGCCGGGGCATTGTGGGACGTGCTTTGTATTCATGCCCGTCAGGCTGAAAAGCTGTTTGCACGTAGAAGCAACCACGCGGCCCTCGGCCTGTGCTGAGTATCACTGTGGCCCCCGGGGCTTCCACAGTTGAGTAGCCCTGGCCTAGCTGTTCCTTGGAAGTCTCCTGACCAAGCCCCGCCCTGCTTGGCTTCAGGAGGCTGCCCACAGGACGTCGCAAAGGGAAGTAAACAAGCAGTGCGGTGAGGCCAGGCTGCATAATTACAGCCCCTGCAGGGTTTGGTCAGGGACCAGAGGGCATCTCTGATGTGGGCTCCGTTCAGCGTGTGGCGCTGAGCCCCGTGCTCGCTTGCGGCCTCGCTGTGCCTGGAGCAAGCTGCCTGCGGCGAGGCCCCGTCTGGAAGCAGATGGTTCGGATTCGAGGTCTGCAAGGCTGTCTCTGCAGGGTTTTGGGAAACTTTATCCCCTGCCTGACACAGGCTAATTTTAACATGTTTTTATTTGATCTTTTCTTCTTGCCAAGATTTCAATAAAAGCTCCTTGGCAGCGGATTCCTATGTCCGCTCGGCCTTCCCCCGCCCACTCCCAGGGCCTCGCGAGCTGCGCTGGGCTTCCCACAGGAAGCGACGGAGGAACGTTCACTGTCCAAGACGTTGGAGCAACCTCCTGCCCTCGTGGAAGCCCGAGAGCCTCTGCTGCAGCTAGTGGGGGAAATCAAGTTCCAGGCCCAGCGTTGGAGGCAGGGAGGCTCCCACTCCCTGGATCCTCCCCCCTGTAAAACATGCGGCAGTCCGGAGCCCCGCTGGGGAGGAAGAAGTGGGGGAGAGGGAGGAGAAAGAGCGAATGGGCCGAGCGCCTGCCCTGCCCAAAGCAGCCCGCAGAACTCGCGGTGTGCGGGGTGGGGAGCCCGCGGAGCGCCACGGCCCATGGTGCTCACAGAACCCCAGAGAAGGGCTGTCGACCGGCCAATCGCACTGACCCAAACACCTTTGCCCCACCCCTTTTCCAAGGCCCCGCCTCCTGCTCACGCCACCGCCCAGTTCTGTCCCGCCCTCACTTTCTCACTTTGCCCAGGCTGGGGCAGGGGGCTAGGGTGACGGAGGGCTACTGGCTCTGGGTGGCTTTCCTCAGGCAGCTCCTGGAAGCGACTGACATGTCCAACTTCTAGGCTCTAGGGCAGCCAGGCAGCTCCATGTGCCACCCCTGCCTGCTGGCGCCACCCCTACAGCTCCTATTGGCTGTAGTTCCCAGCCAATGGGAGCTGCAGAGTCAGCACTGAGGGAGGAGGCAGTGTGTGGAGCCAGAGGGACGTGCTGGCTGCTTCAGGGAGATGCATGCGGAAAAACGTGCCAGCTGTCTACACTGGCTGCTTGAGTTTCCGCAAGAGCACTGACTCTGTAATCTATGCTGCTCCCATTCAGGCAAAAGTTCCTTTTGTGCAAAGCTTTTATGCAAAAGGGCCAGTGTAGACAGCTCAGATTTGTTTTGCGCAAAAGCGCGTCTAGATTGGCCACAGATGCTTTTGCAGAAAAGCACTTTTGCAGAAAAGCATCCATGCCAATCTAGATGCTCTTTTCTGCAAATGCTTTTAACGGAAAAGTTTTCCGTTAAAAGCATTTGCGGAAAATCATGCCCGTCTAGACGTAGCCCAATTGTATTAACTGCAGGAACACAAAACACTGCAGGGGACCCTCATCTTTTTTCTCGTACCTGTGCCGATTGCAGGAGAAGTGACAGGAAAAAGAGCACAGTCTCCTCAAATTCAAAACCGTTCATTTTGAGTTGATCGGACACTTTTTCTCACAGGGATTCTTGGCGTGGCCGCCAGACTGAAACCTCAGCCGTTCACCCAGCTCCGGCTGTGAGCCCCCGGCCCCAGGTACCCACTGCCTGGCTTGTGTGCCTTCAGCACTGTCCTTGGGCTGGCGACACGTGGAGTGTTTTGTGCCACGTTTGTGTGGCCGAAGACAAGAGAAGGGAAGCGGAGGCAGGCCCTTCCCTGCTGAGTGAGGAAGAGAGCCCATCTGTCAGGACTAGAGCACCGCGTGGAGTGCGCAGTGCGCTGTGAATACCTGCGTCAGGCTGTGGAGGGATGGAGAGGCAGAGGGACAGCTCTCACGTCACCCCTGTGCCTGCGTTTCCCCAGCCACGGCCTGCTGGGTGCTGATTCCTTGCTGGCCTGTGTGTCAGACCCATGTTCCTGGGGGGTTCCACTCTGGTCCCTCTGCGCCATTCGCCAGACCGCAGGGCGATGGGGGCATGTGGATTCACTCTCTGCCGTCTGCTTTGGGCTGGGGGCCCCGGATATTCGGCCCTTGTCCAGACAGGCACTTCACTGGCGAACAGACACGGCTGACAGCGATCCCTAGGCTCCCAGACCAGCCCCGAGTGCAAGCCAGTCTCATTGCCGAGCCCCCGCATGCCGCCCTGGGACACACGCCGCGGGCAAGGTGCTGCTCTCAGACACCTGACGTCCATCAGCCGCGTGCATGGGTCAAAGGCAGGCTTTCTCCCAGCATGCACTGCTTTGCAGGTGGATGCCGTGCACTCGAGAGGAGCCAGAGGGTTAGGCAGCGGTGCACGGAAAGGGGCCGGGTAACAGGGGAGGGGCTGACTCAGGCTGGGAAGGGGCAGGGTGCACGAGGGAGGAGACGTTGCCTGACGGTGACTGAGGCTGGATGGCTGGGCTCCAATGCACGCGTGGGGGGCACATGTGCTCCTTGTACAACCTGCAGCTTCGCCAGGGGAGGGAGGGAGGCCAGGCGGAAGGCGGAAGGAGGGAGGGAGAAAGGGAGGCCAGGCGGAAGGCGGAAGGAGGGAGGGAGGGAGGGAGGCCAGGCGGAAGGCGAAGGAGGGAGGAAGGCCAGGTGGAAGGAGGGAGGGAGAGAGGGCAGGCGGAAGGCAGAAGGCGGAAGGAGAGAGGGCAGGCGGAAGGCGGAAGGAGGAAGGGAGGGAGGCCAGGCGGAAGGCGGAAGGAGGGAGGGAGAAAGGGAGGCCAGGCGGAAGGAGTGAGGGAGGGAGGGAGGCCAGGCGGAAGGCGAAGGAGGGAGGAAGGCCAGGTGGAAGGAGGGAGGGAGGGAGGAGGGAGGGCAGGCGGAAGGCGGAAGGAGGGAGGAGGGAGGGCAGGCGGAAGGGGGGAGGAGGGAGGGGGGGGTGAGGCCTAGCGAGGGAGAGGAAAGGGCTGGCGCGCACGAGTACCGGTAACAGCCCTGGCTGGCCTGCCAGGACGCCTGCAGCCGTCATGCCCGGCCTTTGGGGCAGGGAAGGAGAAAGGCGCGGCTCTGCTGGTCAGGGGCCGGCTGCAGCGTGGCGCCTGCGTGGCCCTTCCTGTGTCTCCGCCTCGTGGGCCTGGTTTCAGAGCTTGCTGAGCTTATCCCATCCCCGCCTGGGAGAGACGCGCAGCCCGGCTCTGTCCCCCCACAGCAGAAACGCCCATTGCTGCCCCCGGGCCAGCGTGCCCCGACTGCCCCATGGGGCTAACCGCTTCCCTGGGAGGGCCCTGAGCCAGGCCAGCTGGTCACCATGGCTCCAGGTGGAGCCCAGTGGCACTTCTGGGGCCCGGAGAACACGCGCTTGTCCCTGCCCTGAGGTGCCCAGGTCCCAGCAACACCCTGAGCGCGCAGACCAGTCCCTCAGCAGGGTGGGAGGGAGCCCAAAGGCTGGTGAATGTGGCTTCAAGACAAGCAGGGCAGCTAGAGCGGATCAGGCTTTTCTATAAGGCCTTTGGTCCGGCAAAGCGGGGTAGTTCCCAGCTCCTCACTGCCTGGTCGCGTCCTCTCTGTCATGGGCTCCACAGCATGGAGGTGGGGGGACAGTCTCTGCAGCCGGCTTTCTCCAGTCCAGCTCCCACAACGGACAGGGGGCCCCCCCAGTCTGGGCAGCGGAGGGAGGCCGAGGGGCAGGTTTAAGATCACAGCCGGAGGATGGAACATCTTTATTCCAGCCGCCCAGCGCCACTGACACCTCCTTAGCCCCTCAGAGTCTGTGAGCCGCCCGGAGGGGACCACCCCCTCCCAGACTGAGGCCGCTTTGGCTTTCGATGAAGGAGAACACTGAGAAGAAAGACCAGCGGTAAAATTCCCTGTGGGGGGCACAGAGCATGGACTGTCTCTGCAAGGAGCTGAGAAACCCGGGCGGATACTTACGACTGCAGGGATGCAGGGGGAAGCAGACACCTCAGCTTCATCTACCAAGGGTCAGTTCTTGGCGCAGGGTCTGCGCTGTGTCTCGCGCACCCTGCTACGGAGCCACGCCGTGCGACCGCTGGTCTCAGAGGCAGCGCCGGTTCTTTTCATGCTGCTCTACTATTTACCATCACTCACTCTCTGTTGCTAGTGCGTCTCATTGCTGTGGTTTTCCTTTCGGCTGGGTCACTGTACAGCAACTGCCAGTTGTAGGCTTCTGTAAGCAGGAGAGAGCAAAGTTAAAACATCAATGCAGGAAGAAAACAGAGACACGTGGTAATGGCAGGTTTTGTTGCAAAAACCAGCTAACTTTTCACACACAACAGCTGTAACAACATGGGGTACGTGTCTAACACTGTCCATACACCCCCCAGCATCTCCGAGTGCTTTGCAAGCATGAACAAACGAACAACCCTCTGGAGAGGCAGTGGGGGAAACCGAGGCACAGAGCAATTAAGCGACATAGGAATCAGTGGTAGCACTAAGACTAGAACCCACGTGCCCTGACTCCCCATTTCACGTGATGCGGTGATGTAAACCAAACACTTGTATGTCTCCAAACCACAATTTGCTACCCAGGCTGAGTCCTGTAGCTATGCCTGGCATTTCCCATAGTGACCTCCAGGATGCGATCAGAATTTGTCTAACAGCAGGGAACTAGCTGTCCTGTTCCCCCGGGAGAGCTCTGTTCCTTTCCCCAACCGACCTCAACATTACCCTCCAACTCCTGCCAAAAACCCAAAATACGCACATACAATGGGCCTGTTTGTGCTTTTGGAAGCCAGAGATCTCGCTAGCTTGTGATTCCCTGGTAGACCCCAAGGCCTCTATTGCCGAAGGCTCTGCTTTAAATTGTCTCCCATTGTCGTCGGTTCTGTTACAGTTTACAAGCTGGAAGGCGGCAGGGAAGTCCTGGCTGTCACATTTTTCTCGCGGTCACATGACAGACTCTGCCGAAGCGGGTCTCTGCCCACGAAAGCATATGCTCCACTGAATCTGTTAGGCTATCACAGCGGTTCCCAAACTTCTTGGCATCACGCCCCCCTTTTTGATTTTT